GCGGGAACGGGGCAGGTAAGGCGCGGCCCGGTCTGCTGTGCCTGTGTACGAAAGTCCCACGCACCACGCTGACGTCTGAAAAAGCAGCCCACCTCATGTGCGGCGCTCAGGGGCTTGTGCCAGTCGCCCAGCTCCTCTGCACTGCGCGCCTTGACGGCTTTGCGGTCCTGCGGAAGACGAATGGCCAGGGGGTGGACGCCTAATGGTCGGAAGGCGGGGAGCCAATGCAACTAGCTTGCGCAAGGGAGGGCTCAAGGGCAACCGGGCTGGGTGAATGGGGTGGCCCGGACAGCCAAGCCCCCGCGTGCAGGGTGATGCGAGCGTGGCATGCCGGCGCGTGTACTCGACAGCGAGCCGAGAGGAGGGGATGAGTGCGCCGTCCTGCGGCCGACGGCCGGCTAGCAGGGTCTCTCAGAGCCGCTCACCTCTGACAGCATGACGCGGCATGCGGCCAGCAGCGCCCCCTGCACGGGGGGGTCCCCGCCGACAGACACCACCGGGGGGCTCGCGGGCGCGCCGTCTGCGCCCTGCTGCTGCTGCTGCTGCTGCTGCTGCTGCTGCTGCTGCTGCTGCTGCCTCTGTGGGTCGATCAGGCCCATGTCAGCCAGCACCGACCGCTGCCAGGTCTTGAGGCCGTCAGAGGGCCGCGCTGTCACCGAGGTCGTCCCCACAAACTGCTGCACGGCACCCTGCAACGGGCGAGAGACGTTTTATTGGCGGGTCGCTCGGCGACAGGTTTACGCGTGGACATTCATGATTCCTTGGCAATTGTCACATGTGCGCCGGTCAACACTGCCTTGGGCGTGCTGGGGCTTGCCGCGGGTGGGGACTCAAAACAGTCAATGCCCGCCACAAGATACTGAGCGTGAGCTTGTGCCGCCCCACCAGAACGAAGTCCGCATCAAATGGGAAGGAGAAGGAGTCGAAGGGGTTGTCTGGCACGATGAAGCCGTAGCTGAGGAGGAGGTCGGCGTTGGAGTGGGTGCCGTAGCGCAGCAGCAGCGGCTCCCCTGCGGCGACCTGGGGGGGTAGCCGGGGGTCAGGGTCGCGGGTGAGGAGTGGGGGGTGACGGAAACTCCGGGGACTGAGATAGGCACCGTGCAAGAGACACACCAGCATACACAGGTGTGGGCATCCCCTTTTGCCTTGAGCCTGTTTGCTCATGCAAACACAGGACTTGCCTGCAGCAGTCATTCAATAGCTCAAAGCATGTGGTCGTTTCTGCAAACTCCCCCGGCCCCCCACCCCAGTCCACCCCACCCTCTTGTTGGCGATCATGCTGACGTCACCGCTCTCGTCCGCCCTGATCTCAGCGTTGCTCTCAAACGAGTGGTTGGCCATCTGGTGGCGTTGGGGATTGGGGGGCAACAGGCGGACCCGAGCAGGGTGGTGGTCATGGGCTGGTTACCGGCAGGCAGCAAGGTGACAGTCGCGGCAGCGCATCCTGCAGAGGCTGGCCCAAATAGAGGCACACAGTGCGGTCGCGCCGACAAGGCCGCTGCTGCTCAGCACGCTTTCGCTTTGCCAACATGCAGCCACCCAATGCTGCAGGCCCTTGTCAGCTCACGTCCACGAGCGGCACCATTCCGTGGCCAGGGGACTGCGGTAGCAACGCAAAAAGGATCAGAGATTTGAGATTGCATTGCATGAGCTAGGCCGAGATGGGGCCGCCACTGCTGGCCACGCGCCTGCCTGCAGCTGCCCACGCGCCGCGCCGCAGCGACTAGGCGCGCGCCCTCCTCTGCGTTCACAACAAGCACGTCACTGCCCCTGCCGCGCAAGCCCGTCCCCACCCGGAGCCGGCGGCCCCCAAACCGCACCCGCCGGAAGCCGAAGCTCCGAGACATTGCCAGTGATAGGCCCCAAGCCAGCAGCTCCTCAGTCACGACCTCGCCGCCAAACGGGTCGTCGTGCTGCGACCCCGGCAGCGCCGCCAGCACGTCCCGGGCGAACTCGGCGCAGAAGTGCGCCTGCCCGCCGGCGTCCGCCGCGAGCTGCGGGTGCTGCAGCTCCATGAGGGCGGCCGGCTGCAGCCGCATCGCGACGCGCGGCGGCGGCACGCCGGGGGCAACGCCGGGCAGGTGGCGGATGTAGGGGTGGTGGGAGCCGCGCTCGCCCTCGAGGCGGTACGCGATCAGCTGCAGGGCCATTTTGAACTGCCAGGCGGCGCCGGCGTCCCCGTCGTCGCCGCTGCCGCTGCTGTTGCTGCTGCCGCTGCTTCCGCCTGGCCTGGAGGCCTTGGGGGCGCGCGCCATGAGGGCTGCGAGGCGGGGGTCTGCGGTTTCGGTGTCGCGGACCTGCAGGGCCCGAGGCACCAGCATGATGCGGTCACCAGGGTTCAGGTCCTGGGGGGATGGGGGGTGGGGGGTGAAGTGAGGAGGGGTGCCCTGGAGGGAAGTGAGGGCTAAGCAGGCTGCGTCGACAGGGGCAGGGGCGGCCGGTGAATGCGACGAGGGCGGGCTCGCAGGCGTGCGCCGCGGGCGCCACTGGGGGCTTTTGCTGGGGTGGTGGCGTCTGTCGTCCAACTTTTGCTGTGGCGTGAAGGAGGCCGTGTCTATGGCCTGGCAGCCTGCCCCATGTGACACACACATCAGCGTGCGCACTTTCGCAACCCGCAAGAATATCTCTTGGCCACACATACATGATCATTGTAACGTGTGGCGTAATTTTACACGCACGTGCACGCAAACACGCACGTGCGCACGCACACGCCCCCCCCCCACCCCACCTTTGACGCCAGCAGCTGCCGGTCCGTGCGCCCCTCTGCATCCTGGCTGTACACCAGCACAGCACCCGACACATGGCCTCCATGGGCACAGATCCAATCTGCCAGCGCTGCATCGGGCCGGGCGCCAGCACTAGCACCAAGTGCATCCGCGGCGGCAGACGCTGCGGCGCGGCTCAGGCGGCAGTGCCGGCGGCCAGCGGGCAGTCGTAATGCATACCGTGGCCCGAATGTTGTATGATACCCGTGACATATCATCGCACCGGTATTCAGATATGTAACATTAATCTGATTTGCGGACGGTCTGCAGCGCAGTGCGCGGGAATGGCAGGGCGACTACGACCTACGTATACAGATAGCAATACAGTTCTTTGTAAGCTTTTGATCCACCAATGTGTCAGCTCTTGAACTGCCGCACACAACGTAGCCACCATGCCATCCCCGGCACGCGCGAGCGCCGGCAGAGACGGTTGGCTTGACAGTGATGTTGTGCACGCACGGTGAGCCCTGCACAGCAATCCCTGTCACTGGCGCGGAACAGCACACGGCATGTGCTGACCTTCGCCCGCAGCCCCTCTGCTCGAATCATAAACCATCTCACCTGACAGGTGTAACCAAGTGACATCCCTTTGTGGTGTTGTGGACCCAGTGAAAGGTTTTGCCTGGTGTGTGGGTGCTGCTCCACCCTCCCTCCCCCCTCCCGCCGCCTGGCATGGGTTGTGCCCTGCAT